AACGCTGTACCAAGGTTTCTTCAGGTTTCCTCTATCTTAATAGCCAGGTAATTTTCTGCTAATTTAGTCTAAGTTAAAACGTAAATTATAATTAAAATAGTCATTATTCTGGCCGGCACGGCGATGAGAAGCACCATACCAACTCTCAGAAACCGGCTCACAAACAAACCATTTAAACATTCCCTTATTCATACAACTACCCATCCGTTGATGTAACTTATAAATAAAATTATACTTACAATTATTGATAGCCGTCATTTCCGATACGTATCGTAATGTGATAGGCATGTAAGTTGAAATTCAATTCGTATCTTATGGACTGTTACTCGTGATGTTCCAAAAGAATATTTTTACTAGATTTACTATTCCTAGGCCAATCAGAAGACGAAGGATAACACATTTTCAAGGTATTGCGTATATAGTCCACGCGAACTCATGTGCATGAATGAATGAATGAATGAATGAATAGGAAGTTAAAAATGCATGTATTTGAAATGTCATCATTACATAAATCTTTCTGACGCAACAGCCCCAGTGCAGGATGTTCTGGAATATGTACGGCGTAACATGTGCATGATTGTTTACTCTTCAGCGTGTTTACATTTACATCTGAATTGTCACCGTTACATAACTCTTTCTTACTTCGTCTACTTCTGCTGGATCCTATTTCTTCTGTACTATTTTTATGGAAAGACAACGAATGATTTCAACATCGCATATATGTTATGTAAATGAGGAGACGAATCCGGCCCAGTATTCGGAGAGCGTAAGAAAAAATATATTCCCGCCGTGGTCTATATTTTCAAATAGTTTTCTTGAACGTCTATGGTACCAGTGGGTAATTGAAATATGGCCTTATGGGTAAATGGATACCAAGTACATGTACACTCATTTCTATTTTTTTAAACTATTGCTTGCAACATGTCACATTTGGTCTAGTAGATCTTTTTGTTAGTTATTCTGTTCTATTATATTTAAACCTGAAATGCATGACATTTGTTGGAAAGTTTACCGCAATAATGAGGGGGAGATATTTTGCTTGATTGGTTCTTGAATAGAAATTACATGCATTTATGTCTTTTCAAACAATTGTATATGACTTGTCATATTTATTTTTTTAATTGCTTCGATATGTTGTTAGTTGTTCAGTTGTATTTTTATTTAAACCCTGAAATACATGACATTTATTTGAAAGTTAACAATAATGAGAGGGAGACAGTGCCTACGTATGGGTTCGTAACTTGACTTAGTCTTGGCCGGAATAGGCTACTCACATTTACTGTGGAAATACATTGTTTATCAAATTCACTATGTATAGTGGGTAATCGCACAGTAGTCAAAAACATGGTTTTTGGCGAAAAACAAAAAACAAAATTGTTCATAACCTTTTAAACATGCCAGTGTTAATTTTTTTATTGTAATCTTAATCTGATGAACAAGAGGTCTGCCGCCGTGCTGATGCAACGCATCAAAAGCTTTCTTGTTCACATTTGAGCGATTTTACATTAAAGTTAAATGTTCAGATTTTTTACCGTTTTGCTAGGCCTTCATATAATGTCTACCTCTACTTGATATGTATTTAAAAGTGAAATCGGCTGTAAAGTTATCAAATAGCACAGCAACTTGCTACTTTGAAAGGCTAAGTGGTGTACGCCAAGGCTGCAGCCTTAGCCCTATATTGTTCTCTTTGCTTATTGTTGAATTAGAATCAATGTTGCAGTCCTCCGGCGAGAGGGGAATATTTGTGAGTCAAGAATCTCTAGACATTTTGTTGTTATTATATGCCGATGATTGGTGCATAATTGATGATACTGTAGTTGGTCTCCAACGAAAACTTAATATCCTTAAATCTTTCTGTACTAAATGGGGTTTAGAAGTTAACCATAGTAAGACTGAAATTTTAGTTTTCAGAAATGGTGGAAAGCTTAGGAGTACTGAGAAATGGAGGTTTGGAGATGTTAATGTTAATGTATCTACCTATTATAATTATCTAGGTTTGTTATTTTCAAATCGGCTGTGTTGGACGACTGGTATCAACTCTCTTGTTCAGAAGGCAAAGAAGGCTCTGTTGTTAAGAAATTACAGCATTGTTTGAAGAACATACCCGTACATATACTTTTTAAAATATTTGACATTCAAATTAAGCCTGTATTATTATACACTTCGGAAATATGGGGCTATTCAAAAATTGCAGCAATTGAAAAATTTCAGATTAAATTCTGTAAATTTACTATTGGAATTGGAAGTCAGGTTACAAATGTTGCTGCCCTTGGCGAATGTGGTAGATATGGATTATTTATTGATTATCACAAGAGATGTATTAAATATTGGTTGAAGTTGTTATCTTTACCCAGTTATAGATACCCTAAGCAATGTTATTTAATGCTGAAATCTTTAGATGAAGTTAATCGCACTACATGGGTAACTTGTGTCAAAAGATTATTATTCAGTTATGGATTTGGCCACGTGTGGATTTCGCAGGAAGTTGGTAATGAGACCCTCTTTATTAATGCATTTATTCAAAGGTTAAACGACTGTAACCAACAGGACTGGTATTGTAAAGTTTGTGAAATACGTAAATTATCAATATATAAGGAATACAAGTCATTGCTAACAGTTGAAAAGTATCTCTGTGAAATCACAAGCCGTCATTATAGACGTATGTTTTGTTTGTTAAGAATTGGCGAGTTGCCATTGATGGTAAATTTAGGTAGAAGATGCGGTATAGAGTACTGTAATTGACAGTTCAGATTTTGTCATTTACAGGAAATTGAAGATGAGTTTCATTTTATGCTTGTCTGCCCATGTTACAGATATTTAAGAAATAAGTATTTACCTATTTATTACTCTTCCAATCCTACTTTATATAAATATAATACACTATTATCTTGTAACCGCACTAGTATTGTAACTAATTGTATTAAGTATATACTGGAAGCACTTGCAATCCGAAATTCTGTCACTTAATACCCTCTGTCATCTGCCTCATACTGTATTTTTCAATGAGTATTTGTACGTGGGCCTATGGCCTTTATACTGAAATAAAGAATAAAGAATTGAATTACCTCTACTTGTACCACCATCAATACGGATTCTACTTTCAGGTATCATATGCTGCCTCCGTGGTCTAGTGGTAGAGCGTCCGCCCGGAGAGCGGAAGGTCCGGGGTTCGATCTCCGGCCGCGTCATACCAAAAGACGTTAAGAGATGGTACTTATTGTTACCCTGTCTGGCAGTAAGGGGATAAAACAAGGACTGGTCGGCTCAGAAGTCAGTATACTGTGTCTAAGTGTGGTATTCATGTTAAACTGCGGCATGGTATCTCAGTGTGCTAGCACTATAAATCGGCATCAGTCCGGACTAGTACAGGCAGCCACACACACACACACACACACACACACACACACACACGTGCATGCACGTCGCTATATAAGTGCAATAATCTTGAACGCGACGTTAAACCCCATTTTAGCTCACCTGAGATATCATATCAACAGAGAAAACCGACCTTTTAACTCACGCTAATACTTCATTAGACTTACTAAACGACAGGATCCTTCTTACTCTATCCTGCTACATTGTTGATCAGTCACGTTAAGTTCACGTTAACCTGAAGATGTCACATCCTGTTTATTAGTTATTACGTGTTTGGTTAAGTTGACCCGACATGTTTGTATCTTTTGTAGACACATGTATAGTTGTTGCTATGAAAACAAAAGGTATTGGGTAACAGGGTAAATATCACATGCGCAATGTTTGTTGTGAACAAACAGATGACAATTTTGGGTTGTTGACAACCATCATAATCATCATCATTATCAACAGCATCGTTTTATTATTCATCACACACATGTGTGTGAGTGTGTCTTTGTGTGTATTTGTGTGGGTGTGTTTGTTTTTGTAATACAAACACGTATTGTAGAGTTATCTCTCAGTCATGTAAGCATGTACTCTTTTACATGTATATATATTGTCCTCGAAGTCACGTGAAGCAAGGACTATACTACTACTACTACTACTAACACTACTATAGCTTCTACCACGACTACTACAACTTCTAGTTTTTACTACTACTACTACTACTACTACTACTACTATACTACTACTACTACTACTAGTACAGAACCGTGAAGATCCTTGTTGTATGAGGCGACTGAAGGGATCGGGTGGTCAGGCTCGCTGACTTGGTTGATGCATGTCATCGTATCCCAATTGCGCCATATCAATCACTGGCTGGACAGCCGTCATATAGCTGGAATATTGCTGAGTGCGGCGTTAAACAACAAACAAACAAACTACTACTACAACTTCTATTTACTGCTTCAATAACTACTTCAGTAACTACACTATTACGACTACGTACTATTACTACTACCACTACAATGACTACCTACTATTACTTCTGCTACTACTACCACTACACCGTCTATACTGTTACAACAAGAATTACTAATACTTCTACTATAGGTAGTTGTGGTGGTGGTGGTGGGGCTGGAAGTTGTTGTAGTAGTAATTGTAGGGCCCGTGAATATTCGGTAGGACCCGTGAATATTCGGTAGGACCCGTGAATATTCGGGTTGGAATATATCTTCAGCAACCCATGCTCATGGTGTCAATCACTATATTGTCTGGTCCCGACTCGATTATTTACAGACTGCCGTCATATTGCTGGAATATTGCGGAGTGCGTTGTTAAACAAGCTCACAAAACTACAACTACTACCACTACTATATACCACTACCACTGAGCACTACTTCTAACACCGAAATTTAAGTAACTTCATGGGTTTGGTCTCGCGTAGCTCTAGCAATAACTTACTTCATCAAGTCAGCTACACCAAGAATTGTGTCACAGAATGTACCCACGTGGGGTACTGACCCCGTGAATAGTGTGAAGAAATAACGGTTTGACCCCCACAGCATAACATACAAAGAACAACCCAACGAATACGACAAACCGTGGCTTCAAGTTTAAATTGATATAGATAAATATGTACTCACTGCAGATACGCATGACTCCACCCTACCGACAAGAGTCAACTCCGCAATTCGGTGACAACTTTGAACGATCAGCTGATATCAGCTGTCACTCGTAGCTATTGTTGGTATCCTGTAACAGGCACGTGGTTGTTTAGTGGTAATGGGATACAGTGAAAATAGGGGACATCGCATGTGTCTTCATCATAATCACACGATTACTGAACGAGGATATTGCCAAAACACAAAATCCACCAAAATGTTATTAGATCGAGTCAAAATGTCGGTTGCAGTTTGCCCTTCATACATAATTGTATGTTCAAATATTGTCTTACATTTTTAATCAAGCACTGTATATACACACCACTGACCCGAGAAGTACTGGTTAGTACTGCTAGTAGTAGTAGTAGCACTGTATATACACACCGCTGACCCGAGAAGTACTGGTTAGTACTGCTAGTAGTAGTAGTAGCACTGTATATACACACCGCTGACCCGAGAAGTACTGGTTAGTACTGCTAGTAGTAGTAGTAGTAGTAGTAGGCGTCTGTGCTTGTCGCTGCGTAAAACCAAACTCCCTCACATTAACTCTTTGCCGAGAGCGCACTCCTAGTGGAAGGGAGACAAGTCATTTCGTTTACACCCTTCGCTTTCACTCGGCCAACAGAGACGTTGAGACAGTCTTTGTACCTGCTAGTAGCAGCTCACAGTTGCTAACAAATATGTGCTAGTAGCAGGTAATAGCCTATATATTCCAAATCCCGATAATATCTACTGTCAAACACTTACGACAACATTGCAATGACATGACACACGGGATATTTTATACGCATTGGCAAATACTTTAAGCAAACGAAACCGGTTTTGTTAGCTAAAATCCTGTTGTGAGCGGAACGTATGTATACATGCACTATGCAAGGTCAAACTCAGTGCCTTCTGTCTCGGAACTCACGGAAATAGCCGAGTGAACGCGAGAGTGACACAATAGTCATGATTGATACGCAGTTGGATTTCCCCACGGAGGAGTTTACTCGGCAGTTTGTATGTGAGTACTGAAAGTTTTTATGTCATTTCACACGATACCCCAATCCTCAAAATGAAGGGGATCTACCTTCAAGTTAAACAAAGTCCACAGCGGTCAAGGATCACTACCAGGCGGATGTTGTCCCACTCATAGCGGTACTGTGTCCTCGAGTGTTGTGAGCCTAGTATGTTTCACGTGACGATATAAACGTGACTTAAAAAATGTTTAATTTTGTTTCGGACCATTGCTCGTGACTTGGACGATTCAAAACAGCTTTAGTCCCATGACTGACTATACTACGTGCACATGATATTCAATCATAGCAGTATTTGGATCGTTTTGCGTTCTCACTATGTCCATTTTCGTTGTACGTAGTGATTTGTGTGACCCTAAGACAGACCCTCTGTGTAGTTAGGGTGAATATGTAACTGCTACACTTGTGCGCATCATAAGATAAGGAACTGCCAAATGACCTTAGTTTTGTACTATTAATTTCTCTGTAACGTGTTATGTATATTGCTAAGACATCAACATTATTGTAAGGCATTATGAAATTAAATATTAAGATAACCACTTGTGTTTAACCAGAGCTACTCCTCCTCCTCCTCCTACTACTACTACTTCTACTACTACTACTACTACTACTACTACTTGCTATTGCTATTTACTTCCATACCACTATCCAAGGAGAACTAGGCACGTGTCAACTGACATTCCTGTAGCACTTATCCAGGCATTCAGAACCAACTGATGCTTGCCGTAAAAGGCGACTATGCTTGTCGTATAAGAGGCGACTAATGGGATCGGCTGGTCAGGTTCTCTGACTTGTTTGATGCATGTCATCGTGTCCCATTTGCGAGGATCGATGCTCATGCTGCCATTTTTCACCTGCAAATCCCCCATTATTATGTTTTCATGAAATAAATAGTATTATGTTCTCTTATCTCAGCTGACATGGTTGCAGATGACAGTTACTGTAAGGCAACGCTAATAAGCCTATGAATCTAGATAGGGAATTTAACTGAAACTATACAAACCACGACTGTATTTTTTATGAGATAAGTTAATTTTTATAATATTATTTGAAACAAAACAAGAAACACTTAACGCTATCGCGTGCCCCGGTACATATTAAACGGTTTACATTACTTTTTTCTACATATGTGACCACTTCCTGGTCACTAGTGGATAGTGTCTCAATCCCCTGGCCACGTCATAGCAAAATACATGAAAAGATGGTACTTGTTGTTGCCCTGCCTGGTCTCTGTATTAAAGGGATAAAACAAAGACTGGTCGGATCGGAGTCAGTGTATTGTCTGGATGGGTATTAACTGTGGCATGGTGTCTCAGTGGGCTAGCACTATAAAACTGGCATACGTCCGGACAAGTACAAGCAGACACACACACACACACACACACACACACACACACACACACACACGTGCATCACGTTGTATATAACTGCAATAATCTTAGACTTGAAACCCGTAAACAAAATACCCTAAACAGCAACCGAAAGTTTATGAAGCTGACTTCACGATGAACATGATGAAGGGGGATTCCCCACCCTCCACGTTGTTCGCGTGGCGTTGCTATAAATAGGCACACGCTATACGTTAAACGAAACATATGTTCCTTGGATATTTCATTCATTATTTTGGAAAAAAATTAACCAAAACTGTGCATATCTTTCTTTATCATTTAATAGACATTCATAAATATATTTAATCAGTTTTAGATGAGTGATATGTATTATATACAAAACAATATGGGGCGGTCTGCATGATCATATCCAATATGTAGAATTAAATCGAGATACGAACACAAACACTTTAAAATAGTTGTTTCCTGTGTAATAAGAAAATATATAATATATAAATTATCAACCAACCTTATGCGTAGATGTTGAGAGTAATATCGAGTCTGTATGATGCAAGATACACCGACATGCCATGCGGACATATCAGATGCCACGTGGGTTGACATCCTGGTGATCATAAACTGTTTCCCAAGAATGTGTTACATGACGCGCATTTCTGTTTGTAGGAGTAGTAGTAGTACTCCGTCTCATTAACTGTAGGTCATCCAGTGACTTGAGACAACTACAGGGTAGGGTAAAAGATTACTTGAAGACGTATTGTAAAGATTTTCGATGGCCCATTTACTGTTTGAAATATGATCATGCTCAATATATATTACAATAAAAAAGTCACACATATATGATTAACTCTCCGATTTCATAACGACTTACAATTATACGTATAGTTAAGAAATCTACTGCGTGTAAATACCCCATTCAATATGTCAAATTGCGTGGTGTCTATTTCAAAGGTGAATTCATTAACATATCTATAGAAAGTTGGATTTAAAACCATTAATTAAGTTCTTATCATCATATCAATATCGCCTACATAAGAACATACTGAAATAATGTTGTCACAACCTATATCATCCTGCTAACACAACGTTAGTTCAAGTCGTCACATCGTCCATGTTAGTCCACAGAATAACGTTGCCACACGGTAAAATACAACATTACCACAACGTAACTACAACGTTCCCGAAACGTTGTGACGACGTGAAAATGTGGTATCACAACGTTGTGACAACATAAATGGGAGTCCACATGATGTTGCGTGGACGCAATATCATGACATTGTGACAACGTGAATATAACGTTGGCACAAGGTCGTGACAACGCAACTGTACATGTTAGCTATAGAGAATACTGTTACATTTTTCTGGCTCGAGTCCATGTTTCGATTTCTGTGGACCTTATTCAATTAAACCAGACCCCAAACCATCTTTCATTAGGGAGACCTATCCGTCAAGAATTTGTCTGATGTAAAACATGACCCACTGCTGTATTCGATGACTAATACCATCATCTATATTTACAAAAAGAATATGATCTGATATCAATAATAACATATCATAATTATTTATTTTAGTAACAATAAGGAACCAAGAAGAAGAAATTACTTACTATTTGTAGATAATGTATCTCCATGCATTTTGTGTTCTAACGTGTTTCCAATGTACGAGAACTGCTTGAATAAGTTGTATATTGTCTGATGTGACGATGTGCTTATTTGGTAGAGACTTACCTTTGAGAAATTAAATAAGATGCTATTATTTGGTGGTTGGGTGTGTATATGCGTTGGGATACATGGACGTCGAAACCCCACCAATCTGTTCAGTGAAGGTGTCCGGATTAATACGTTTCCCGGAATAATAGGGTTACAGTGTAACATAGCCTGTTTATGTATGCACTTTCCTATGAAAACCGCCCAGATAAACGGTGTTTCACTCTATATTGTGTTTATAATATACTTCAACTTTTGATAAGATACTGAGATATTTCATGCTAACAATGATTCGATTGTGATGTATTTGATACGGGTATCATAGGCCATAAAACATGCATCCTATCAATGAGTGAGTGAGTGAGTGAGTATGGTTTTACGCCGCTTTTAGCAATATTCCAACAATATCACGGCGGGGGACACCAGAAATGGGCTTCACACATTGTACCCATGTCGGGAATCGAACCCGGGTCTTCGGCGTGACGAGCGAACGCTTTAACCACTAGGCTACCCGACCGCCCCTCATATCAATGAGTATATCACAACAGGCGATTGTTTTCACATAGGAACGTTTGTAAGGTTATGGTCAAATCCAATGTTAAAGTGTATACTATCTTTGCCCGGCAGTTGGATATGTGTAATCAACAAAATATATGTTTGCAGAATTTACACAAAATAGCCTCAGATTATATATTTTTTGGCCGCGGAATACAGCGAGAACTGATAATATATATATCTACATTTTTATATTGTGACGATAACTTAATAGTAAGAACAGTAAGAATTTGAAAAGTTGTTGCAAAACTTTTGTATTAGTTTTTTTTATTGTTCCCAGAGTTGTAGATTAATATTGTATTCCGTCAGAAACATGTTTCGGATTGCATAGAATGACACAATACACTCTTTAAAGATTTAAAGGCTTGGAAACAAACATTGTCATATTTCAAACCAAAATCAGCCTCAAACATAGCATGTATCAACAGAGAGCTAAGAATCAAATGCTGAGAATGAAAGTGACCA